AACTGGCGTAGCTCGTTATGACAGCTGGCTCAGTGTATTTTTGGTGTCACAGTAAAAAATGGTGAGTTGACATACAGTAGCTGGCCAAGTGAGGCTGGTTTCAAAATTGAAGTAAGCACTTGAGGGGGAAAAAAAAGAGTAGTATCTCCTTAATTTGTGTAAGAACCTCCCAGGGGGGATCTGGCTCATTCACATATTAAATACATTCATGTGACGATAGGTAGAGATGAAGAAAAAAAAAATCATATATTCGTCTATGATTCAGTTCTTGAAGCAGGAAAAATGGGCAAGCGTAAGGATCTGAGCGACTTTGACAAGGCCAAATTGTGATGGCTAGACAACTGGGTCATCTCCAAAATGTCTGGTCCTGTGGGATGTTCCCAGAGTATGCAGTGGGTAGTACCTATCAAAAGTGGTCCAAGGAAGGGCAACCAGTGAACCGGCATCAGGTTCATGGAAGGAGTGTGTCCTCACTGTAGCCTGTAACGTGATGACATATTGGATTAGATCCACTCCGTAGTTGTAACCCTAACTCTAACCCTAGATGAATTGCTTACTGACACACTGTCTCTGCCATCAATCAATCCATCATTGTTCTGCCACTTTCCTGTCAAAATAAGTTTGCGCATGCGTGATTAAACATTCATGATGTTATCGAAGCCTGCTACGGCGCATGCATGTTACAACATCCAGAACGTAGTGGATCTAATCCAATATGTCATTGCACTACAGGCTGCAGTGGGGACCTCTTGGAAGGAAGGATATCTGGTGAACAAGGTCATGGGCGCCTAAGGCTCACTGATGCACATGGGGAGCGAAGGCTAGCCCATCTGGTCCGATCCCAAAGAAGAACTACTATAGCACGAATTGCTGAAAAAGTTAATGCTGGCTATGATATAAAGGTGTCAGAACACACAGTGCATTGCAGCTTCCTGCATATGGGGCTTGGTAGCTGCAGACCTATCAGAGTGCCCAAGCTTTCCACGGCCGAAAGTGCTTACAATGGGCACGTGAGCATCAAACATGTTTAAACTGTTTCACTGTTTAAACTGGACCATGGAGCAATTGAAGAAGGTGGCCTGGTCTGATGCATCACGTTTTCTTTTACATCATGTGGATGGCCGGGTGCGTGTTCGTAGCTTACCTGGGGAAGAGATGGTACCAAGATGCACTATGGGAAGAAGGCAAGCCGGCAGAGGCAGATTGATGCTCTGGGCAATGTTCTGTTGAGAAACCTTGGGTCCTGACATTCATGTGGATGTTACTTTGACACGTACCACCTTCCTAAACATTGTTGCAGACCAAGTACACCCCTCCCTGGCAAAGGTATTCCCTAATGGCAGTGGCCACTTTCTGCAGGATAATGCGCCCTGCCACACTGTAAAAAATGATCATGAATGGTTTGAGGAACATGACAAAGAGTTGAAGAACTAGCTTTTAGTGCAGTATCTGCTCTTATGTAATACATTATACTTTCCTTATATGATGATGTCATATTGAAGTGCTTCTTTTTGTCATTCACTTGACCAAACATTATGTAGGTTTAGGTATTTACAATTTTTAATGTTTAGTTAGAGTTGCTTAGGGTTAGATATGGGCTATAGTTTGTATTAAAGTCTCCTTTTTCACTAAGGAGAGAAGAAAAATTTACATTTTCATCTGTTCCCTTTAGACTTCCTTCACATTACTCTTTTCTTCCTCCAGGAGATATAAAAGGTATCAGGGTGGAGGGGGCTGGTCATCTTACCCTCAGCTAGATTATCAGTTCCCATTCACCTATAGACATAGCCATTGTTTTCCTTTGTTTCACTGTTTAAAATAATTTGATATTGTCTCTTGGAGATGGGGTTACATCACTCAGTTTTACTAGCCATGTCCATTGATCTGGTCCTTGTGAAGTCATTTTGCTTCTATTAGAATTTACTGTGTTCGGAATTACTGTGACTGTAAACAGAAACCTAGTTATAACATTATGATTAAGAATAAGTGTAGTATCTGCTCTTATGTGCGTAATACAGTATCCTTTATTCATATGATTAATGAAGTGCTTCTATTCGTTATTCACTTGACCTAAAGTATATTAAATACCTAAACATTATGTAGGTTTATTAGGTTTAGTTAGATTTAGGTGTGCTTATGGGATAGATATGGTTATATAGGGGCTATAGGGGCTATACTCCTTTTTCACTGAGCAGAAAAAATGTACAAATTTCATCTGTTCCATTTTGCCCTCCATTGTTTTCAAGCCATTTTTTTTACAAGCCAATTTTTAAACATCACTTTGCCCTTTTCTTCCTTCAGGAGCTATAAAAGAGTTCAGGGTGGAGGGGGCTTTTTCAAGACTCCTTTCCCTCAGCCAGATTATCAGTTCCCATTCAGCTATAGACATAGCCAATGTTTTCCTTTAAATAAACAACCAAACAAATTTAACAGCTTGTTTAGATTATTAAATAGGCACCTTTTTGAGCCAGCTATGGCTTATGGCCATACTCCTCTGAGAACACCTGAGCTCATCTGATCTCAGAAGCTAAGCAGAGTTGGGCCTGGTTAGTACTTGGATGGGAGACTGCCTGGGAATACCAGATGGTGTTTCCAAAGATTAAGTCTTTTAATCTTTAAAGTTGCCCAAAAAATAGTTGCCAAGTATCCACAGTCACTACAAGATGTCAGAGAAGATGATGTGGTGTGACCAGGATATCACTCACTGATCAAGCAGTTACAAGCCCAAATTGAAAATGTGACATGATCTTCAGCACCAAGGATAATGAGGACAGAGAGGAAATCCCAGCTAAACAAAGGGCAGCTGTTCAGGACACACATGGCTGCATAAAGTGGGACATGAAATTCATGCCAGTGAGTGAGACACCAGAAAGCCAACAGAAGAAGAAAGACAAAATGAAGGTGCTCAGTGAACAGACTAACTTCAGCCAAGATGAGGTAAAAACTCTTATGAAGTGCACCCACTACTCCCAACGTAAAGAGATGGCCTTTTTTGTTCTAGGAGATTGGCATGACAGTCCACTTCCAAGAGTTCACTGTGGTATCACTAAAAGAAACTTTCTTCACCAGTGTAGAAAAAAAGGGAATATGGCTTCGAGACTTCATGAGAACTGTTTGTGCAGACGAGAACAAACGAGTTTTGCAAGCTATCACAAGGCTGAAAATTCTGAGAGGACAGTTGGAGGGCTGTTAAGAAGATGTCAGATGAGATGGTGCTCCTTCTTCTCTCCGATTTTGATGAAAAAGAGGATACTCTCTTCCACTATGTAGAAGAAACACGTCTGGCAAAAGCAGTACAAGTGGAAAGCTTTCCTGTGACAACATGCATCATTGTATGTGGTAAGTTGATATTCAGTTTTACAGAAGGAGCCTAAGCTAATGTAAGGAAATATTACATCAAATGCACGGTCATGTTTTAAAATGCTAGTTGTGGTTCTTCCCTAGTGGCATTTTCTCCATACAAGTGTAATAGATTCTCCAATTTTGACCCGTCTACTCCTTCCCTGTGGTGAGAATGAGCACTTCACCAGGATTGTTGTTCTCCAAAATGAATGAAGTGGATCTGGACCAGCAAACAGGAGGAACTATTACACTTGTACGGAGGAGAAAATACCACTGGATGGGGAAGAACCACAACTAGCACTTTTTAAGACCACTTTTGGATGGTAATGGCTGGTTTGCTGTTAATTATTTTCTATCTGTATCTTCTTTGCAGGAACCTCTTGCTATGCCTCAGGACAGTTCATGCTGAGTATAGACTGCAAGGTTGTGAATGACCAAATTCCCACCTTTATCTCTGCCATCTGTTTGATGTTTGGAAGCTAATACTGCCTTAGTATCCACTATCCTCTGGATCTGGGCTCCACACTTGAATTCCTTCAGAGGTAAAGAAATATTTTTTATTTCCTCCTTTAGAACAAATCACTGTATATAATGGTTCATTATGAATTCTTGTGTTCACAAAGGTGTTTCTTCATCCTCAATCCAGAGAAGGACACAAAAGTTGAAAAAAGAAAAACAAGAAGCAACTGCCAGTGAACCCAAGAGTCCTCACCCTCATCGCAGATCTCTGTGATCATGACTAGAGAGAGACATGTTAAAGATGGATTTATCCAACTGAACTGTTAAGACTGAACTCGTACACAAACGCTGACTGTATGGAACAGTATACATTTTATTGTACCTTAACTGTTAATCAGTGACATTCAGAAAAGTATTCTATGATGTTTTCTGTTATTTTAGTGGTTTAATAAACAGTTTTTTTGGTTCTGTTAAATATCTGTGAACTGGCTTATTGTACGTTTTGGTGGAATTACTAAAGCCTAATGATTACTTGAACGATAAGGTGTAGGCAGCAGCAATTTTTTACTTTATTATTTTTTTTGTCATCTTTGTTAGAGGCTGTTCTTTCAGTTAGGTCAAACAATTCGAGAGGAAGGCCAACTTCTATTATATAATTCTGAAAATGGCAAACAGAGGTTTACTTTAAGATTTTACATTACAAGCAAGGAGTTTTCCAATTTTGGCTTTTTGTTTTTTATTGTCAAAAGCAACTTTTCAGAAGATTTGGTCACTTATTCATTTGAAATAATCTATGACACTAGCCGGGAGTTTGCAGAGCTTCTTGGCTATCCATGCATTCGTGTTAATGAAAATGTCTCTGAGGAACGTGAGCCTTTGTTTCAGTGTTGACATTTCAGAGTACGTTGAAGACTGGTTACATTGCTAAGATCTAAGAATCTCTTTCAGGTAAGTAAACTGAACACATATCTAACAAATCTTATAAAGTGTTAAAGGTAAATTGTCTTAAATATCTGTACATACTTTGTTTGTTCCTCTTTCGGCTGCTCCTGTTAGGGGTTGCCACAGCAGATCAGTGGTCCGCATATTTGATTTGACACAGTTTTTACATCAGACCCACGACCTTCCCCAATTTTATCCAGGCTTGGGAGTGGCACTGAGAGCACACTGTTGCACACAACCCCAATGGCTGGAGGTGGTTCCCTGGCCAGGAATCAAACCCATACCCCAGCAGTGAGAGTATTCTGGTCTAACCACTAGTCCACCAGGGACCTAAATCTCTGTACACACTGCTCTCATATAAATTATCTTGTTTTTCGCTCCTGCCACCTTTCAGGCATTGCATTTAAAGTCTTATGAGTGGTTGTGGAATTGGAGGGAACAATTTGCTTGTGTTTGTGACACCCAGGAAAACAGTGAGATTGTAATCCATTTAAGTGCCAAAAGCAAGCTGTTTTTAACAATGATTTTTATTTTTTTTTGGCATATCCGCTTTATTGGACAGTGGCAGTAAGGTTAGATGGGAAACACAGTGGAGAGAGAAGGGACGATATACAGTAAGGGGTCCAAGATGGAATCGAACCATGGCTGCTGTAATAACAATATATGGTACATGTGCTACCAGCCACTTGGGAGGCTTAAGCGTTTGTTTTTAAGTGTGAATTTAGCCATTTGATTTGCAACCTGTGTATTGAAAAGCGTGAAAGAGTTTATGCTTGAGATTATTTCTTCTTTAGCTTAGGGGGATGTACATACAGGTAGGTCCATAAATATTTGGACAGTGACACAATTTTTGTCATTTTGCCTCTGTACAATTCTCTGACCGTAGGAGGAAAGGTCTAGATGAACAAATGGGAAGCAGATTGCTGCAGCATTGTTTAGATAGGTCTCAAGATGATATGAGCCAAATATGGTGAAGCTTGGACAGAATTTGGAGGAAGAGTAGCAAAAATGGCAGTTAGATGTAAGCATTTTTGGCATGTTATTGTAACTTTTTACCAGTAGGTGGCGCTATCACAATATTTGTTGCGTAGCCTCAGGTCATGGTCCTGAAGATGCCTATCAAGTTTTGTGTCAGTGTGCAAAGTTGTTGTTGAAATATCCTCACATCCTGTTTGGTGGCTTTGCCATCAGATTCACTGACAAACCATTTGGAATATTCAAAATCCTTTTAATAACTTTTGTGAGGCTTACTCTGAAGATGGTGAGTGCCAAATTTGTTGATGATTGGAGAAAATTTGTAGGAGTAGCGAAAATGGCAGTTAGATATAAGCATTTTTGGCATGTTATTGTAACCTTTGACCAGTAGGTGCTGCTGTCAAGAAATTTGTTGCATCACCTCAGGTCATGGTCCTGAAGATGCCTACCAAGTTTTATGTTAGTGCACAATGTTGTTACTGAGATACAGCCTCACTTCCTGTTTGGCAGCAAAAACTGTTTTTGACAAAATCCAAGATGGCAGAAAATCTAATTAGGCAGAAATTGACATCATAGGCTGCATTGAATTTGTCTCGACCCAGCCAATCGAGGTAATGGATTTTAAATTTTGGACACATGGTTCAAAAGTTTTGACTATAAATGTAATTCCAAATTAGGTCCAAATTTGACCCAATGGTGGTGCTAGAGTGTTGGAAACACTTGGCCCAAATTTGGTCAGAGTGTTCCTTAGACCCTCCCCAATCAGTGTGCCAAATTTCACAACTTTTTACCAGACGGTTCTATGGGCTCCCATACACACCCTAGCCAGAAGAAGAAGAAGAAGAAAACATAGAATAACAATAGGGTGCCTATGCACCTTTGGTGCTTGGTCCCCTAATAATAATAAGAAGACATAGAATAACAATAGGGTGCCTATGCACCTTTGGTGCTTGGCCCCCTAAATATAAGGATTATATTTATACTTGGATACAAAACCTTTCAGTCAGTGACTGCCTGAGGTCTGGAACCCATGGACATCACCAAATGCTGAGTTTCGTCCCTTGAGTTGCTTTACCAGGCAGCTTTACTAGGTTGCTTTACTGCAGCTGCCTTCAGCTGCTGCGTGTTTGTGGGTCTTTCTGCCTTCAGTTTTGTCTTCAGTAAGTGAAATGCATGCTCAATTGGGTTGAGGTCAGGTGAATGACTCAGCCCTTTAAGAACATTTCATTTCTTTGCCTTAAGGAGCTGATGTGGTATGCTTTGGATCATAAGCCCTCCCTTTCCTTCTCCAGAACTGGTCAGGCTTTTTTAGATGTTTTTTGCCGAATCTGGCCTTTCTATTCCTGAGGCTTATGAATGGTTTGCACCTTGTGTGTTTGCTCTCGTGAAGTCTTCTCTTTATGGTTGCCTTGGATGATGATATGCCTACCTCCTGAACAGTGCTCTTCACTTGGCTAGATGTTGTGAAGGAGTTTTTCTTTACCATGGAAAGGAACCTGCGATCATCCACCACTGTTGTCTTCCATGAATGTCCAGGCCTTTTACAAAGATGGAATAGATGGAATAGTTCTGTCTCTAAGGATGCTCAGTCAGGCCTACAGCTGAACTATTAATTGAGGAATGTCCCAGTACTGCACAGACAATAGCTTTGGTAAGCTGGGATGGTAGGCAGCAGTTAAACAGGTCAGCAGTCAAACTGGCTGATGGCTGGGCACTAAGTCATGGCAGACAGAGAGCAGGTCAAGTGGTTAGTGGTCAGTTTGGCTTAGTTTTGAATGTTCTGTCAGTCTGGTATTCTGGTTCAGAGGATGTGGAAAGCAGCATAAACACACACTGTACAGTACGGTGGAAACTGCTTATTGATGTTTCTTCATTATTCAAGATTGCAGAACCGTTGAGCCCTACTGTAGTAGTCGGCCACCCAGGCTGTCAGATCGAGGACTTATTTCTGTCTCTTTTTCTCATTGAAAGGTGAGAATGATATACTTATGCAATAACCAAAGATTCCCATGTGTTTTTGGCTGTAGCCCCGACAGTTTCTCCCTCAGTCTCCCTCAATCTATTAGGTCTGTTAACTCTTTGAACTGTAATGTTTTGTATTTTTTTTTCTTTATTTTTGTGAGAGAAGCACTTTGCAACTGTGTAAGTGCTATATAAATATTATTTATTTTTAATTTTTTTAATGTTTTGTCTCTTTTTTTGGCCGCAAGGGGGTCATGCCAGTCCACAGTGAACACCTGATTGACAACTTGGGAGTCTTCAAGCAGAAATGATGACACCTGCTTAAAGTTCCAGTTTCCTGAACATCATACCATGTCAGTATGAGATTCCGCTCCACCTGTCTTCAGTCAAGTCTGGACCCAGTGACTCAGACACCAGTCTTGTCAAGGCTATTTAGAGGTAAACAGTGGTATAGTTTAGTGTAGCAAACAATAGGTAGATACAAGCACAACTCGAACTTCACTCAATCAATCTTCCTCAGGTGCTCGGTCAGAGCCAACAGCTTCATACATACATAGAAGAAACCTGTATAAGGTTTAATAAAAAATAATAAAAATAAAAAAATAAGCACTCTGGAATATGGTTTTGAAGATCACTTTTAGAATTAATAGAGTATCAGGGCAACAGGTAGAAATGGATGCGTTTCAGCACTAAGCCATCATCAGCATTTGTTTCACCCCTGTGGACTTGCAACGTAAATACACAGATGCCTCCACACAGGCAATCAGACAATCAGCACCAGTCTAACAACATTGACCAAAGTTCAATGGCACAAGATCTGGTAGTTACAATATTTTGGCAAATACCAAAGCTTTTTATACATACATTAAAATTGTTTGTGCTTTGGTATTTGTAAGAAGGTGTTTACATTTACATTTACATTTATTATTGGCTATTTATTCATATGTATTTCATATACAGTATAATCAGTTGCAACACTGACCACTAACCATCATGTGGTTACTGGTCAGTGTTGCACCAAATGTGATGATTAGTGGAGTGGAGGCATCTGTGCATTTAGGCTGCAAGTCGACCGAGGTGAAACGAACGCTCATGATGGCATATCTGAAATGTATCTGTTTCTACTTTTTGCCCTGATACTCTATTGATTATAAAAGTGACCTGCAAAACTATTCCAGAGTGCTGGTTTCTTCTATGTATAGTTCATTGGAGCTCAGTTTAACAACTGTGAGTTTATCTATGTGTAGGCATCATGCTCAAGCACTGCGTCAATCTAACTTTTGCTTTGTTTCTGTTTTCTGGCTGCAGAGAGGATTGTGCCAGTCCACAATGAACACCTGATGGACAACATGTGAATTTGGTGACAATACAAGCTTTAAGTTACAGTTTCTTGAACATCATGTTCAAGTGAGACTCTTTCCCATGTTGAGCGCTCTCTTCAGTCAAGTCTGGACTCAGTGACTCATTATTCCTGATCAACCAGGGCAAGTGGCTATATTTTTCATGATGTTTATTCATTCCACCATGGACTGTCCTTCATATGGACACATGCTGTTTTCTCAAGATTTCAACACTTCTTTGTGAGTATACTGGACAAGTTATTGGATCAGTTCTGTTTTTTCTGGGGGGGTTTTTCACAGAGAATGTGAAAATGCAAAAACAGGTTCTTAAAGTGTATCAATGACAGTCTGTACTTTGGTTTAAATTGGGCTTTATTTATTATTTCCTTCGTAATTGCTGACTGTAAAATCTATGCCAACCAACTGTAATGCTTTATGTGTTGTACTGTATTTTTTGCAATGAAATTCAAAAAATGCAGTTGAACTTTGCAATAAAATACCGTGATATACAGTATCATACACTTGTACTCTGTGGATGGAAAGATGGAAAGATGGGTCGAGCACTATGGGGAGCTGTACTCCAGAGAAAATAGCGTCACCGACACAGCTATGGAGCACACCACCCCACTGCCCACCATGGATGAACTCGACTCGCCACCCACCATTGAGGAGCTCACCAAGGCCATCGACTCGCTGTGCTGTGGGAAAGCACCCGGCAGCAACGGAATACCACCAGAGGTTGTGAAGGCTGCTAAAGAAAGCTCCCTCCTGGGACATCTCCACAAACTTCTGCTTCAGTGCTGGGAAGAGGGAATGATACCCCAAGACATGCGGGATGCAAAGATCGTCATGCTCTACAAGAACAAGGGCGACCGCAGCGATTGTAACAACTATCGTGGGATCTCTCTCCTCAGCATTGTCGGGAAAGTTTTTGCCAGGGTAGTCCTCAACCGCCTGCAGGTACTTGCTGACCGTGTGTATCCCGAGTCACAGTGTGGGTTTCGTGCCAAGCGATCAACCATCGACATGGTGTTCTCCCTCAGGCAGCTGCA